TATCGCGTTTTATGACTTTCCGAGCCGTTTTGCGATAAATCCGTTTTACGACTTTAGACGAGATCGTTTCCTGATACGATGCCGTTTTTAGATAAGTTTCTCGAGTTAATCGTAAAGCTAAGCAATGTTCGATGTTTCGATTAATCGTTGCCGTTTTCTACGATTTACTCGGGGTTTTATTAAAAACGCGTTTTGTACGCTTTTTACGAAAAATCTCGAATAAATCGTATAGTTTAGGCATTATTCGGTGTTTCTTTTAACCGTTGCCGTTTATACGATTTCCTCGAGTTCTTTTCGAGAAAAAAAGTTTTATGGTTTTATCGTAAAACTCGAACGATAGGACGGATCGAGACGAAACGGGAGACATTTCGACCGTGATTCGGAATACGATCGTGTCGAAGAACGTATGCCTTGAATCAAGGATGTGGGAGATCGAGGCTCGCGATAGTCGGCTCGACGTACGGCGAGCTAGTTCAGCTTGGCCAGGTCACCAGCAGGCGAACTAGGCGATAAGAACCAGTGGGGCAAAGTCAGCACCTCTTAGTTCGCCGTTTGGGAGTCTCTAGTTTGCCTGCTGGTGAACTAAGCCAAGCCGGCTTAGTTCGCCAGCAGGCGAACTAGTCGCGGAGTGCCTAGTTCGCCTGCTGGCGAACTAAGCCAAGCTGGATTAGTTCGCCCGCAGGCGAACTAGTCGGGAAGCTTCTAGTTCTCCTGCTGGCGAACTAAGCCAGCTTGGCTTAGTTCGCGTTCTGCGGCGGTTTCGGTTTTTTCGCGGTTTTGTAAAACGATACTCGAGTCTTATAAAACGATCCTCGAGTTTTATAAAACGATCTTCGAGTTTTATAAAACGGCTTCTCGATTTTTATAAAACGATCCTCGAGTTTTATAAAACGATCTTCGAGTTTTATAAAACGGCTTCTGGAGTTTTATAAAACGATCTTCGAGTTTTATAAAACGATCTTCGAGTTTTATAAAATGGCTTCTCGAGTTTTATAAAACGATCTTCGAGTTTTATAGAACGGCTTCTCGAGTTTTATAAAACGATCTTCGAGTTTTATAAAACGATCTTCGAGTTTTATAAAACGATCTTCGAGTTTTATAAAACGGCTTTTAGAGCTTTATAAAACGATCCTCGAGTTTTATAAAACGATCTTCGAGTTTTATAAAACGGCTTCTCGAGTTTTATAAAACGATTCTCGAGTTTTATAAAACGATTCTCGAGTTTTATAAAATGGTCTTCGAGTTTTATAAAACGATTCTCGGGTTTTATAAAATGATTCTTCGAGTTTTATAAAACGATTCTTCGAGTTTTATAAAACGATTCTTGAGTTTATAAAACGATTCTCGAGTTTTATAAAACGATTCTCGAGTTTTATAAAACGATTCTTGAGTTTTATAAAACGATTCTCGAGTTTTATAAAACGATTCTCGAGTTTTATAAAACGGTCTTCGAGTTTTGATAAAACGGTCTTCGAGTTTTATAAAACGATTCTCGAGTTTTATAAAACGATTCTTCGAGGTTTATAAAACGATTCTCGATTTTCATAAAACGATTCTGGAGTTTTATAAAATGATTCTCGAGTTTTATAAAATGATTCTTCGAGTTTTATAAAACGATTCTTGAGTTCTATAAAACGATTCTCGAGTTTTATAAAACGATTCTTCGAGTTTTATAAAACGATTCTTGAGTTTTATAAAACGATACTCTAGTTTTATAAAACGATTCTTCGAGTTTTATAAAACGATTCTTGAGTTTTATAAAACGATTCTCGAGTTTTATAAAAGGATTTCTTTTATATTTTCTGCGGAGACTTTTTGCCATTGATTCCGTTGTGACCGATTTTGACACCAACAATCCACTGTCTCTTTGTTCTGAAAATTGCTTTGCATATCTGAGATGATTTGAGTTAACTGCTGAATCACTCTAGTCTTCTCCCGGATCTCACCACGGGCATCAAGCAAAGCTTTTTTGCCAATTTGTACTGTCATCTTCATCAAACCAAGAGAAGTAATTGCATCCATTGGGAACGTGAACATCCATAAAGTTGTCGACCTCAGTTTCTATCAGTCCAACCTTGCGTTATACTCGTCAGGAAGCCACAAATACAAAATCTCCAACTAGAATTTTGCCTCCTCATCGACGATCCGAAGCCACTTCAATCTTCATTTTCTCCATCTTCATTTTTTCCATCTTCACTTTTTGTACCTATGAAGAAAAGAGGGAAGGAGCTGGGAAGAGAAGGTGACAAGAGAGAAGAGACGAGAAGGGAAGAGAGGAGACAAGAAAAGGGAAGAGAAGAGAGAAGGAGAGATGTAAAAGGTGTGCGTCGGTAGATTTGGGAACTGGACCAGTTTGACTCATGAAATTGGAAGAGAGAGATGTTGGTGTATTTTTAGTTATACCTCGTCTGGATGTGTCATAGTAGGTCTTTGCGGAGAGAGAGAGAGAGAGAGAGAGAGAGAGAGAGAGAGAGAGAGAGAGAGAGAGAGAGAGAGAGAGAGAGAGAGAGAGAGAGTGAAGGCACTTTCAATGTTGTGTGGTTAGATTGGAGATAGATAATTTTTTTTTCTTTTTTATTGTCGCCAAAAAAACTTTCATTTCCCTCCTAATACTTGTTCTTAGTTATACAGAAGATACTAGTATTACGAAATTTGATTATAGTTCTACTTTTGCTGGTTTCTAATTTGATTAGTGTTACTAATTTTTAATTTTTTTTTTGTAGTTTTACTTTTGATTTTAGTACTTCAAAATGTAAGTTATATTGTTCTGTACAATAATATATGCGTAATAGATATAACTCAAAAAATTCCTTTGTAATAAGTCCTTCATTGAAAAGTGTGATTGGAACTACAAGGTTTCATAATGGATATATCACGAGTTTGAAGAAAATTATAAAAACGTGATGACCGAGTTTTGTTAGAATTATAAATTATTGTAGAGAAAAAATATAAGACAATTACAACTGAGATTTGATATATATAATATTATAATAACTGAGTTTTGATATAGATAATACTAATGTCATTAGAAAACAAAGTAGATAACTAAGTTTTACGCAGTTTTTGAAGCATACAACATAAAATAAACATATAACAGAGCTAAATGCATTACTCCTAAATCCAAATAACTACTTTCTAACTCTTTTCCTTCACTACCGTGCGAAGCGATCCGAAGGCATGATCTTCACCTCATTGATGTAATCCGAAGACCTGTCGGGCACAACATAAAGTGTCATGGAATATGCCATTGCCCACAGCTCCGACCGGTAGTATTATGAGCACAGCTCATGGATATGAAGGCGCCTGCCAACGTTTGTAGTAAAATATATGTAATTAGCCAGTTCGTGCAGACAAGGAAATTTTTTAAAATCCCACACCTTGCAAGTACAACTTTTCCTAACTAAGTGCGCCGAAAATATATTTCCTTTGGTGTCGGTGATCTCGTACTCAAACTCATAACTATCAAGCTTTTTGTGCAACATGCCATAGCTCGTGCAAGTAGTTCTTAACCAGAGGCACCAGTTTGCTATTAATTGATCCAGCAACAGCATCCTTCCGATGTTGATTGAACCAATCAGATATTTTCCCGGTGATGCAATCCAGCATTGATATTAGGGCCCACCTCGTTGCCTCTTTAAACACGTTCTTCATTGATTCCACACTATTGCTTTTATAGATGTTGTACCTGTCACGTGGACAAAAAACTCTTGCCCATTTGTCCTTTTCAGTATGTTCCTCAACATACTTGTAGACTGAAGGATAGCTTATCTTAAATGAATCGTAAGAGAGTTGAAGTCAGCCTCCATGTAATATTTCCCAGTTCTATGAATCTATACCCGACTATATCCTTTTTGACACTACAAGCATGCCCTTTCACATTTTCCTTCAGATGCCATAAACAATGACCATGGTGAGCTGTGGGAAACACGCTTGTTATAGTGGAGATGAGGATTCTATTTCTGTCACTCATGAAAACCAGTTCAGAAAAGTCTGGTATAACACTTTTAAGCATCTAAAAAAAAGGTCCAGCTAGCATCATTCTCTCGATTTAATACTGCAAACACAACTGGATAGTTGTGACAATTAGGATCTTGAGTTTTCGCGAAGACTAGAAAACCATCATATCCGTTCTTCAGCCATGTCGCATCTACAACTATCACTTTCCTCATAACTGCAAACCCTTCAATGCAAGCTTTAAAGGCTACGAAGAGGTACTTGAATTTCGATCCCTCATCCAATTTCACAACTCACCTGCAACTTGAATTGTCCCGATGAAGATTGAGAACCTGTGAGTGGAGGAGGAGCTGAGGGAGAAAAAACGGGAAACCAGTGGATTCTGAAACCAAGAAGCGTAACCAGCTGTAAAAGAAGAGAAAATAATTCCATTGAGCTGAGGGTTTTGAGGAGAGTAAGAATTCTGTTTCAGGATTGAATTTCAATTAGGAATTTCTTTTTTAATTATTTATTTATAAATACCAAAACGATTTGTTTCAATCAAATCACAATCACCCAACAATCGAAACAAAATCGAAGTACCAAACTACATTTCATATTTTAGATTTAATAATTTAAGGGCACTTTAGTTAATTCGTATTTAGTTAATGAGACAGAGGCGTTGGAGATTTCCCATAACATAGGAGATCGTTCTATGAGATAGAGGGGCAGGCAAATCTTTGTTTCTCACTAGTCACGTTTGTTAATTTTTCTCTCTCTCATATGCTTCATCTCTGGTCTTGCTTGATCAGATTCCTGTTTGATCTCATAAAAACCTCATCAATGGTAACACTCTCCTACCAATATCCCTCCATGCCCATTTCATATTTCCACCCCAAATCTAAACCCTCTCGGCCGTTATTCTCCAAAGTCTCCATCTTTCGATGCAAAGGCTCCGTACAAACCCTCATGGCCGTCGAGCCGGAACCCATTTTCACCTCCGTCAAGACTTTCGCTCCTGCCACCGTCGCTAACCTAGGCCCAGGCTTCGAATTCTTAGGCTTCGCTGTCGGCGGTCTCGGAGACCACGTGACTCTCTGCGTGGATCCCTCCATTCTCACCGGCGAGGTCTTAATCTCCGAGATCACCGGAACCACCACGAAACTCAGCACAAACCCTCTCCAGAACTGTGCCGGGATTGCTGCGATTGCGACCATCAAGATTTTAGGGGTTATATCGGTTGGGTTGTAGTTGGATTTGCACAAGGGTCTTCCTTTAGAAAGCGGTTTGGGTTTAGGACCTACTGTTTTTGTCTTGGGGAGAAATAAAGATTTTTATATTTATTCAGTTAGATTAAAACAGAAAATATGTTTAGCTAAGAAAAACTAACCAGTAAGGAAAATTGCCCTATTATGTTAATAAAAACTTAAAACTGCCTTTGGGTGTAATATTTTCATTAATTTATGGGTGTATGTTGATAATTTATTTTAAATGGTTGTTATAAAGTGTTGAGGTTTGTAGTATTATGGGCATGTTGCATTCTGTGTTTTGTAGATTTTTTATTGACTGGATTTTGTGTGCCTTTATAAAAAATTTAAGTAGAAGGTTGTATTTTTTTTTTTTGGAATTTGTCCACGTTTACAACTAATTGACAATTTAAAATCCTGATTCTTAATTGGGAGGAAGTTAAAGTATTGTTTGAAATTTATACAGAGACTACTCTAATCAATACTACTAAAAGAAAAGGAAATCTAAAAAAAAACTACTTATAAAAAGTTATTGCACCCTTTCACTAGACTAATATTTTTTGGTCTTCCTTATACTTCTCTAACTATTGAAATACTTTATAAATTAAATAAACTCATTTATTACTTTCCATAATCTATTATATAATAAATGTAACAATAAATTTCTATAACACTTTAATATATTTAATATTTACATAAATCAGAATTAAAAGCTTTTATGTCAATTAATTTAAGCAATTACATGCAATCAATTATTAAAATTTGATATTAAATTCTTATACACGAACTAAATGATTAATTTTATATATAAAAATATTTTTTGTCATATGTATAAAACTCAAATGGGTCTAAAAGGGTTAGAGATTTTAATAGTGTAGATGTTTATCTATTTTACAAATTTTAACAGTGCATATGATATGTTTTATTTAATTTTAAATGTAAAGTATTTTACAATTTAAATATCAGATAATTTAAATACTTATAATATTTTGAATAGAAAATATTTGGGTAATTCACTTTTTGCCTAGGTTAGTTTATAAATAGTATTTTAGGATATTTAGTATTTAGATATTATATATAATTGATATTTGTAGGTATATAAATTATTTTTAAAAAATTAAAATATCTATTTGGTTCTCGGTTCGGTTTCTATTTTTCGGTTCCAGAGATATATAATATGATCGATTATTTATGAAATTTGGTTTAATTTCTTTTATTTTTTTCAGTTTGGTACGGCTCGGTTCACCTGGATAAATTTATCTAAACGTATACATTATCTTATATAAAAATTCATTTAGATAAATTTGTTTCATTTCTAAAATAAATCCGCGTTTTTCAAACGTGAATCAAAATCTAGTATTTATTTGTATTGGCAGCATGAGTCCGACCCAGTTTAAATGTTGTACAGGTGACATGTTGGTCTTGTACTCCTGTAAATTGCCAAATAACATTCAAGTTATTTATCTGTTTGGTAGTCACTGTTTGTGAATTGTGAATCTTTTTAGATCTCTGATATGGAGTGTTCTTCATGGTTGGTCTTGATGAAAATTTTAAACAACAATTAGTTAATGAGCAGAATATAACAAAAAGGCATAACAATTTCCATGATTTTCTGGTTTCTTGTGTTTCCTTGAATGCTTAAGAGATCAAGAATTACACGTTAGTTGTAGCCAAAAAAAAAAACAAAAAAAAAAAGAGAATTACACATTAGCCCCATCCGTAATTAATTATATTGAGTGACAAGATGAGAGTCTCGAGAGGTTGAGAGCTTCCAAATGATGCAGAAGATTCACTCAGGGTCATCAAAATCTCTAAACTCACTGAATCTCATTAGGAAAAAAATTTTTTTATTACATATTAGAGGTGGTCACTTTTGGAATCATAGAAGAAATCATTGTTCTCTCCTTTCAACATCGTTTACTTCATCACCTTTGAAGGCACCTGCAGAAACCACGGCCGCTCTACTTAGCCATTGCTAAGTTTGTTTTACAGAATAAAAAAACAGAGCATGTGCGAAAGGATTAATCTATCAAAGACTTTTATTATTATCTTCTTGACGAAGGCTGCATTCTGATTTCAAGCCAGAATTTTTCATGTGAGGATACTTCTCGAACACAAAAATAATAAAGTTAAGATCTTTAAGGCCATTTTGGCACACCAGAAACCACTCTTTTACATAAAGAGAAATTAAAAATCCACTTTTTGAGTTGATTAATTAACAAAAAGAAACTATATCATCAAAACTATACAATACTCTTACTTTTAGGGTCAATCTGTTAAGAAAATATTCTGTCGTTAAGCACAAACAAAGACCTAAAGACTAATTAGCATACTGATCGCAACTCATTATCTGACAAACCTTATCACAGCCTGGGACCAGTTCCTGTAGCAGCTTCCGTGCATTAATCTTCTCCCTTCTTACATATAATCCGAAAATTAGTAATGAGTTAGCAACTAATCAACTGATTAAGATAAAAAAAAGAAAAGAATTGTGCAAATATGTTGTGTTACGTTACTGGTTCTGCTAAGCTATGGCTATTTGTTACTTTACAACGGCAAGTTCTAACATGAACATATGAAAGCCTCTCGTTCTCTTCCGAGCTTTTGGTCTTCTTCATTAAGCTTTTAGTGTATAAATAATGTTATGGATATGTCTCAAGGATTCATCAATCACTGGCTTGATCAAATGTCAACAAAACATATCTTGTGTCTCACCTTCTTGTCGAGGTCTTTTCTCTTGCGAGACCGATTATTGTGGTTAAAAGCTGCGGTGGAGATATCTAAGCCCATTGCATGAAAATACGACGATGAATCAGTGAAATGGAGAAGCTCCACTTCTTGTGTAGGTGGAAGCCCAAGAAACGAAGCGAAACCACCGGCCTTCTCTGGAGTTAGCATTGTTAGTTGTCAAAACTGCTGCCACTGAGATGCCGTCGAGATGAAGCGATTGAAGACATGTTGCTTCTTGAAACGGCCAACATCGCTGTATCTTGCTCCGGTCAGATACATGAACAACAATTCTCAACGACAGCACCAGGAACTTATAATCTCAAGAAATCCTCAAAGCAGAGACAAGAAGAGAAAAAAAACCATATTTAGAGTGGGTGGCTTTGAGAGGAGGAAAGCATACTCTTTTATAGTCCAACTCCACCTCCTTGCATAACTAAAAACTCGCATTGAATCTAGATCGTGGGTAATCGATCATGGAGTGTTTAAAGATGATAAATCGGTTATTGGTATCGTGAGGAAGAGGATGAAAGATCAGCTTCACAAACGTAGTCGCCATTAGCTCCGGAAAAGCGAAGATGAAGTTGCGAAAAACCTAATGAAAAATATAAAAATGGAACATGTGTCGAAAGTAGATTAAGCTATTTAATGACGTGGCATTCTCTAGAGTGAGAGAACTCTACTTTATATATAGATAGATAGACTAGGGTCCAATCCGCGATACGCGCGAAATATAATTATTGCTTAATGTATATGTATATTTTCACTAACTTGTACTATTATTTATAGTTTGACAATTTTGGTATTGATTTTAAATATACTTGAATAACTAAATATGGTTCACGTGTGGTGATGTGTAATATTGTAATGTGTTTTCAAGGGTTGTGGGTTATGCTTATGCTGTCAACTATAGGAGAAATTTTTCAGATTAAGTTGTGTAGTAAAGATAATTGATTAGCGGTCTATATTTGGCACAAAGTTAGAATTGAGTGTGTCACCTTATTTGCGGACCAATTTAATTAATTAGTGATTTATAGTTTAAAAGTTGAAGGTAAAATTCATTAGTTATCTATCTTCCTTGTTCTACTTATAATAATGTTTGGGCTACCTCGAATAAAGTTTATGAATTATGTTGCCCGTGCCAGTAAATGACTACACGCTTATGCGGGGGAGTATAGTGCAACAATTGTGTCTACGTTAATTTTTCCTCGTATACTTTATACTAGGTGATTTTCCCGTGCTCATGCACGGGTATGAATATTCATAAAAGTAAAATTTTATAATATTGATTTGTATTTAGTTTTAGTTTTGAATCAATTTATATGTAGAATTTATATTAATAAATATTATATTATTCTATGCATATGACTTTGGATATATTATTGTCGGTTTAATTATTTTTGTTTGGATCAGTAGCCGGTTTGGTTATCAATTTGCTATATTGGATAATATCTATTTTTTGCAGCTATAATACTTTTTATTCTAAATATAATAAAACTTTGATTAATTTTCTTATTTTCATTTTGGTTGGTTAGTCTCTTAGATATGTAAATATATTCTTAAATATGTAAATATATTATAGTAAAATTATGTATCTCTATAATATTATTTGAGAAGTCACTTTCCTATGTGGCGCGCTCACGTTGACTCTTACACCGGTTGATTACTATGATACCCTTGATGAATATATTTAAATAGTATATTTAAATAATATTATTAATTTTATGTTTAGTTTCCTTTTTAAAAAATTCCAAATAACTTTTATAATATTTGATCAAAAAAAAAACTTTTATAATAAAAAAGAAAACAAATTATTAAATTTAAAAACGAAAATATATGTTTATATAATATGATTTCATTAAAAAGGAAATTTCACAAAATAGTAATATACTATCAATATAGTAAAATAGTATTATTAATTTTGTATTTAGTTTCCTTTTTAAAAATTTCCAACTAAAATTTATAATAGAAAAAACATCTATACAATTTAAAAGGAAAAATTAAAAACGAAAATATATGTTTATATAATATGATTTCATTAAAAGGGAAAATTAACAAAATAGTAACATCCATTAAAAATATTTTAAATAACATAAAATGTAATTTTAATTAATAAAATACTTTCTTTATATCTGTATTTTCTTATATGAAAATATATATTTTTATATAATGTGATTTCATAACAAAAAGTTCACACATATAATTTTGATATTTGAAAAAAAAATCTTTTAAACATAATTTTAAGTAACATAAACAAGTATATGTTTTTATTAACTA